GAGTTGTCGAGTCGGATAGAGAACTGGGAAAAGGTTTCACCTCCTTCAGGTCTCGAACTTAGGAAACTTTTCCTGAACCCCTCTTCCGTCATGCCGAATCTCTTCAACAATGCCTTCAACTCGTCGAAGTTCTGCGCCTGCTGGACCGGTAACCGTGAAAATACTGCTAAGGCATTTCCCATCAGTTTGGCTCCCCATCCATCTCGGTTCCACCTCTGAACTGTAGCGTATCATTCAAACCTGGATGTAAGCATCTATGTTGTCCTTTTCTTCGTGGAACGCCGGTAACTTTTGACCTTTCTTTACTGCGCTCTCTTTCTCGGTTGATTCCACTGGGACACGCTGTCCGGCTTGAATCAGTTCCATCTTGCGCCTATGTTCGTCTTCTGCTCTCTTCTCAGCTCTCGCCTCATCTCTCACTTCTTTTCTCTTCCTCAATCTCTCATTGCTTTTGGCGTTCCTGTCGTTCTCGTTCAGGGTCGCTCCTTTCCCGGTCCTGTTACTCCTAAATAAATGCCCGTAGTGCCTCACCTTCCAACTTTAACTCCTTTCTGTCCATCAAGGCAGCAAGTGAAGACATTTTCAATACAACACAAGTCCACTATGCTTAAATAAATTATATATACTAAATTAAATAGAATGTATAAATACTCACCGGCAACCCTGTGTTCTACATCCAGCCAGTTATCTTACCTGTAAAGTTCCGTGTAGACGACACTCTGGGTGACTGACTTAAAGAACAGCAAAGAATTTAAGAGTTTTTAGCCGGATTCCTTCCCTAACATAATCAATTCAATCAGACTACTATTCCCAAACAAACGTTGGCTATCCCACCGCTGCCACCAATTTGTTACCGTGGTACGAGCGTCGGTTTAGTCACCAGGGAAAAGAGATCTGAGAGGATGGATTACAAAAGATGAATATGTTTATTTACAATGAAAACATGTATATCTATATATCTACACGCATTCTCACAAACACACGCACACTCGCTTACGAAAGTAGTAAACAATGTCCATGCAGCTCCACTACACACGCGCGCGTACACACCACGCTCAGCACCTTGACAATACATCAGTTCTTCCAAAGATTTATAAATACGTCAATCGAACGATACAAACTAGCTAATTCTATATTCAACAACCATATAAGGTCATGTAAACAATTAATACCAGAAATATATACCCAATATAAATATTAAATCTATTAAGAAAGCAACATAAATACATTTCATTTCTATCTACACAATAAACAATCATTCTTTTTCTCCACTGCTTTTACATACTTCACAACATTGTCCATAATGTCCAGGGCCCTCTGGCAAACAGGAACATTTTCAAGCCAACGATGACTTACAAATTTCAATGGCAAAAGTGATCACCCTGTGATTGTAACGAAGTCTTCCCTTCGAGCTGGAGAATCTTTAAACAAATAGTACAATGAAGACAAAAAACTTGAAAGTCCCCATTCAGTTGCCTCCGCCCCTGATTTAAAACCATTGTGTACTACATGTAATCCACATGAGCCAATGTTTAATAGGTGACTATCGTAATCATTAAGTACTTGTTGTTTCATACTGTCGAAGAATTTCCAATTGACATTTGGGCCATCCATGCTGATTTTTAGCATGTTTCCTATGTCAAGTCCACTCTCTAAAACACTACCAGTGAAATGTGCCATTATATCATCAGAAGTGGCATGGCCTAAAATACAATAAAAAAATATCACTTGAGGTGTGCTATGTCTGCAATTTTAATGAATTCATGCTAACAGTAATGAGTTAAGATTATTATAAACACAAAAACTTTTTTTAAAATCTGATCTACATGTAGATCTATTATTTAAGATATGGAGGATTATTCAGCCAAGTTCGTTTGGTCAGTTAACAATATTTAGGAATTACATAATACATAGATACATGTATCTACATGTATCAAATCTTAACTTATAAGTAAATGAGACATAAATAAATCGCAACTGTAATGATTAATTGGCAGTTGGCATATACTTCAACTTAATTCATGAAGATCTAGACTCTATGCCTGTTTTTCATATTCAAATTTTAAAATATAAATAAATAAACAAAATTGGCTAGTGTACTACTTACCTATGAATTCTGATGTGAAGTATCTTGTCTCAATTTTGTGTGAACTTTCACTCCAAAATCGAATATGAATGTCCATTTGTTTTTGTTGCATTTTCTTGTTCAGACTTTCATCAAATAATACAACAAAATATCCAGTTATATCCTTCGTTATTTTAGATTTGAAAAATTCAGCTAATCCAAAAACACATATGTATGAAGTTTTTCTTTCTCCACACGCAAATTGTTTAGCGATTTCACTATCGGGAAACATTTTCCCTGAAGATTCTGCCGATTTATACGATGATGACTACAGATCAAATTCAGGGTCAGAATTACTTCTGCTTTCAAAACATCGTCAAGTTTATAAGTGTACGCTGAAAGCGAACTACCTGCTGATGCTGAGGCGACTTCAAGGTCATCAGGCTTATTTGAACTTGAACCGGATTTTGCTAAGCCTGACGTCGATGTTGACGATTTATCTGAAGCGACTGACGTGAAAAACGATTTAATATTTACGCTATTTCCAACTCCTTTAATCTGTGTATTTTCTATGTGCTTTGATCCCTTCATGTGGGACTTCAGGGCACTTTCACCCATAGAAGAAACATAGACACTTCGATTGCAAACTATGCACATTGCCTTATGTTTGTCACCGGAGTCTTTCGCCAGCCATTCTTTGTAAGATTCGTTAGTTTCCCATTTTATGTTGTAAACGCATTTCCCTTTTGTATTTGTCATTTTGAAGTAAACCACCAGTCATCTTATTCTACCACCATTCAAGTTGTTTGATAATTATGTAGGATGAGTCATGTTTTACACCGAGCGCTCTTCCGAGTGCTTTTGTGTCATTCAGTACACTCGTGATCCGGCGGTGTTGACTGTGATTCTCTACCGGGATATATGTTCCAGTGTAATAACTCAATTTAAGTTCGTTTGAGGTTCGTTTTAGCGTGATTTTCTTTAATTTATTTTTACTTAGCATAACCAGAGGCGTCTCTGGCATAACATATTTTTGTAAATTTAACGTTTCTGCTCGTTCAAGGATTTATAAGAATACATTCAAGGTTATAGGAGGAATTTCAGGGACTTTTTCAAGGACTTTTCAAGGACTACCTGAAAATTCAAGGACTTTTCAAGGTCTGTGCGAACCTTGTAATCTCTCCATTGTCATTGTCGACCGAAGGTAGGTCTTTACCGTCTTCATACTACTGAACGACCTTTCTGCAGTTGCAGTTGTCACAGGCATCACCAGCAGAAGTGATAGTATGTTTGTAATATTTGGATATAGCTGAGGGTCAGTGTGATTTAGACAAGTGTAATGTCTGCTGGCCTTTCGTCAGTTGGCACCATTGACCATCGAGTCTTCCAACGTTCGATTTCTTGCCGGAAAGTGTCAGGATCGGTCAGATCGGCATCGTAGGTGTTGGCATCGTATATTGCTTGAATCATTTCTGCATTAAGATGCGTATCAAGCTTTTCAGGAAGAAGGGCTTCACCTTTGAACCTGCCCTCACTGTCAACCAGTCTTATTTCCAGTTCGGTTATCAGGAGATCCAGGAAGGCAAGGTACAGTGTTACTTTCCAATAGTCTTTTGTGTTGTTCACGACTGGATTAGCGCGTTGACGTATTCCAGCCCTTCGTGGTGTTGATGGTGTAATATCAAACTCGGCGGCAATTGTAACTGCTTCATCATATAGTGCGTCCCAGACCGTATCATCTGCACGTTGATTACGTAACAACTGTATGATAACTTTACTTTCTTTCAATGCCTGCAATAGATTGCACTTCGGTGTCTGGAGATAATTTGACAGAGACACAGTACTGCTTAGGATATGTTCTGCCACCACCAATCCGATAATGAATTCAAACCGCAGAATTGCACAGAGGCGGCCGCCAGCCTTGTCATCAACATCATCCTTTAGATGGTCAAGGCTGCTTACAACAACTGATAAGGATGCTTTGAACGTTTTGAGGGCATCTGCCCTGCTCAACCATCTAGTTTCGCAGAGAGTCCTTAATTAAGTCCTTTTTTCCATTTCGTGCCGTGCGTTTTCGTTCGTAGCAAGATCGTTCTTGAATTGGAGAAGTCGTTTTGCAGAATAGTCGAAAGAAAACGCGATATCTTGGACAGTTGCCATCACATTCCGTACACAAGCCAAAGAGGAAGAATGTACGAGAGCTAAGTTCAATTGGTGAGACTTGCAATGAACGTAGGTCGCGTAAGGTGCTGTTTCTTTGATTATTGCTTGGACACCTCTGCACTTTCCTGACATGTTTGCAGCACCGTCGTAGCCCTGGGCCCGAAGTTTGTTAATATCAAAGCCGTTCTGCTGCAACACGTCTAAAATGAGCAGAGCGATGGTTTGGCCTTTCGTGTTTTCAGCTGTAACAAAACAGAGGAAGTCCTCTCAGACTGATACCAAAGGACCTTCATAGACAAGATATCTTATACAGATCGAGAGCTGTTCCTTTGGCGGTATCGGTACATTCGTCGGCTAAAACAGCAAAGTAGCGCGATCGTTGAATAGATTCTGATATTTTTCTGACTATCTGAGCAGCGCAAATATCAAGTAGTTCGTTTTGAATATCTGGAGATGTATATTTATATACTACATTCGGGTTCTTCAAGTGGTTTTCTAAAATGACGTCCCCTTTACTCAACATGGTCAAAATGGCTATGAAGTTACTTACTCTTTTCCTCAGTATGACCACGAATGGCAATATTTTGTCTGCCACATAGTAACAGTACCTCGATAATACGGCCAATGATATGCCAGGGGGGCGCTCGATTCGTAGTCCAGGATCTCGGGGAGATTCGGAACAGCAATCGAATGCTATTTCAGAGTGTTCCGGACATCTTCCGGCTCTCCCCGCGAAATAGGTGGTGTGACCGGGGAGAGTGACGTCAACAAGATGGCTGATGTTGGAAGCCTTCTGAAGTGTGCAGATTGCGGGGTGCTTTTTTTCTCCCGACAAGCATTCCTTCAGCACGAGTGTCACAAAGGTACGTTAATTTTATCCTCTGCCGAAGAAAGAAACGCCCAGGAATTATAGTCAATATCTCTGAAATAACATTTAATTGGTTTTTAGCGTATGTTGACGGATTCGTTGACAGGCACGTGCCGTGGGTTAGCAAGTTAGCAGTGTATGTTGCCCACTGTTGGCATAAAAGAACTGATAAAAGTGATATCAAAATTTTTCTTTCCCGGTAGGCTACAATATTGATAACCGTGCGTCTTAAAACTAAAACACAAATCATACACAGATACACATGTAACGACAGATTTGAAACAAATATGTTCAGAATATTGATACAACGTTAAACAGCTGAGAAATGTTTATATAAAACGGCCGAGTAGTGTTCTCTTATTTTATAGGAGTAAATATTAAATATTTATTACAATCTGTATATATCCAATTTGACCCACTGAAATTAGAAATCATATGAAAATGACTCGCTCACTGTCTTACAGAGGTATATTTTTTGCAAGGGGGGGGGGGTAGGAGTTGTTCTTGCAGACATTTTCCAATTTTTACATAAGTTACTTTTGCGTTTGTATGTTATGATGTCAAAGGGAACCAGACAAATAATCAGTGACCATAAAAAATGATTCTAATATTCTTTAGGGATGATGTTTATGACGTTTTTAGTATGTAGAAATAAATTGATATTACCATCAATAAAAAATTATAAATAAGCGTGGTTTACATTTGTGTAAAGTTTTTTGATATTTGACTTAATTTGGAAATATTTATGAAATAAAACAAGACCTGTTTTCTCTATTACAGCAATGCCAATGACCTTAAACTTTCTTTCTCTTTCAGCCTTGAATTCCATCAAAACTGAAGGGCATGTGACAGAGAATGATCATATCCGAACCATGTTCCAGTGTGAAAAATGTAAGGGATGGTTCTGGGATGAGGAAATATATGCAAAGCATGCATGCCAGCAACTTCATGGTAAAGATATAATATGGTTGTTTTGTGTTACCTCCATATACACCAGCCCTCACTTTGGCAGCCAGGAGCTGCCCTCTCTACCTGTTCAATAATTGATAGTAGATAAATGTTCTGTTCATTGTAAGACAACTTGTATATAGTACAATCTAACATCCGATTCTGGAACTCTGCAAGTATGGATGCGCCGGGTCACTGCAATTGTGGTGTCAGAAATATGTCATGTAATTTTACATGGTGTCATGCTATAGTCTGCCCAGTGAAATGTATTTCTATGTCATAGTTATATAGTGGATAGATATTAAAAATCTTAAAATTAAAGAGGTGGAAAATTAAAATAAACCAGGGCCAGAAAAGGGCCCCCATTGACACTTATCTTCTGATTTAAAATTTTTTCTGTTACAGAATCATCTCAGTCAAATGAAGGTGATGCCAGTGCTGCTGAATCAAGCACAAGCTCATCCTCCTGTGGACCCACCTCTACTGCCGGACAAGAAAAAGGTAATTGGACGAAAGCTCAGACCAAACTTCTAATATCTTTATATAAGGAAAATGAGGAGAAGGTGTCAAACGGTCTAATGACCAAAAAATGTCTCTGGCAGAAGATATCAAATTCCTTTAGAGAAAAGACCTACAACTACACACCCGACCAGGTCAGTGGGCGATGGAAGACCATCACTCGTGCATATAAAAGCATCAAAGACCACAATAAAAAGAGTGGGAATTCGAAAAAAAATTATGAATATGAAGAAGACCTTGATGATTTAATGGGAGATTGCCCCACAATTAGTCCTGTTACTATCAGTTCTCAAAAACGAAAGCAGCCTGAAGCTTCAAGCCAAGATGAAGATGACGATGAAATAGTAGATCAAGATCAAGACAGCTCTAGCTCTGAAGCTTCCATCCCTAAAGAAGCAAGCAGGAAAAAAGTAAAGAAATCAAAGTCGTCTGAAGTAATGGACTTACTAAAATTGCATACTCAACAGCAGCAGGAGTTTCGAAAGGAAGAAGCTGCACGCAAGGATAAAATGCACAAAGAAAAAATGGCCTTACTTTCTACACTGGTGCAATCATTGCAGCAAAAAAAATGATTTTGCCAAGAAATGTCAGTTGCATTGTTAAGACAGGTCTGTCATTTTCAGAAAAAATTACGTTCTATGAACATGATGAATGCACTTGATCTAATGTTTTGTTATAATATGTATGTATCTGTTGGCAACATTTATTTTGTACCATACTAAGGAATATGTTATTAGTTTGATTGGTTTCTTATACTCAGTATATGATAAATAAGAGAAAAAAAGTCAGTCTTCCATTTATATTTTATTATGATACCTGGTTGGTATGTATGATTGAAATGTGTTAAAAATGCTCTGTTCTCTTCTTTTTAAACTTGTTAGCTGGCTAATGTTACATTTAAAATTGTTTCAAAATTTCAGAATCCTGCTGCATTTGTATGGAGAATCCAGCAAACTGTGTACTGTTGGACTGTGGCCATCTAGTAACCTGCATGAACTGTGGGGGGGGGGGGGGGATGTAGAAAGGTGCCCAATATGTCGGGCTGAGATAAAGAGGAGAGTTAAGGTGTTCACTTGTTAATCTGAGTCTGATTCCAAAATAGTATTAAAGGTATTACATGTTGCCAAATGGTGCTAGACAGATTTACGTGTATAATTTTTGAAAGGTGGTTATATACCCTGCTTATTTTGCAATATCTTTCCAAGGCCCTGGGCTTTTATATTAGCTGTACGGTTAATTTTGTTTTTATTTTTTGTCAGGAGATCAGACAGCATGTAACATAGTAACAATACTTTTTTTCTGAATCAGAATATTAATATATTTCAGTATAAATAATCAATGCTCGGGTAGATACAGCCACAGAGGAAATGTTGAGCTGATGTGATAAGTTTTCTTTTTTAATTTTACAAGAAATGTTTTGTTAATTTATTTGACTTTTTTTTACATGTATACATACTGTTCACTTACAAATGTTGCAATTTTTTTACAATATTTTTTTATCTTTTAATAATGCCATTTTTTGTTTAATACATATACATTACTGTTAACTTGTATGTTATTTGTTTTTTTCATATTAAAACCCAAGTAGGGTAATGATTTTAATGAGTACTTGTGTTTTTTTTTATCTGAACCTATCAAAATTACACATGTATGTTATGTATCTTTCAAAATATCTCAAAGTATTATTGGGTTTATTGGGCTTAACATCCTATCAGCAGCCAAGGTCATTTATTTAAAGGATGGATGCCATTTCAGAACAATCCCTACATTGTGGACATCAAAGCAGCAGTGGTGGCATACCTATTTAACAGTTTCTATTCGAAAACTGCAGTTAAGGGGCACTCCTTCATTTGAATGGCAGAAATATGCATTTATGTTTTAAATTTATACAAGACAAACGTTTTTAATCAAGTCCTTTTAACAATTGGTGATAAAATTAGCATGGAAGTATGCAGAAAAATAATATATCTTGCAAAATACTGTCATATATATGGTAATTATTGAGCTATCTAGGCCAAATGGGGAGTCAATTTTCTGGAAAAATACTTTCTATTTCTTTGAAATGAAGGAATGCCTCTTTAAAAAAGAAAAACAACAAAACATTTGGTTTCCTTCTTATGGTCTGTCTTTATATATATTATAACATAGTGTACATATATAAACCTAGAGACTGACATTATAGTTCAGGCATATGAACATAAATTTGACTGACTTTTTTAAATAAAACAAGCTGCAATTTCTTTCATAAAGTAATATAAATGTTTATGGCTGAAAAAAAACAGCTATGGCAGATTTCTCACAATGGTGTTTCTTTTGATGATTCCTTCCTGATCAAGTTCATTAAACATGTGATGTGGAGCAGGGTTGATGTTTTGATCATCTCCACCTTCCATGAATTCTTCAACCTCATCATTTGAAAGAAGGCAAATGTTGTGTAAAACACAGCAGGCCATAATGATATTAACTGCTGTTCTAACTGTATTTGTGTCAAGATTTTGAAGCCGGCGGAATCTTCCTTTGAGGAGACTGAAGGCTCTTTCAATTACAACCCTGTTTGATGAATGCATATAATTGTAGTGTCTCTGTTCCTGTGTGAGATGTCCAGTGTTTTTAAAAGGTGTCATAAGCCATCTGCGTAACGGATATGCAGCATCGCCAATAATATGATTTGGTCCACACAGCTGAAGACCTTCTTCCCATAAATCTGAGTTGCGAAGTACACGTGCATCATGGCATTTCCCAGGAAAGCCAGCAAAGCAATGAATAAAGTTCATATCAGAATCACAAACAGCTTGTAGCTGAATTGAGTGATAGTTCTTGCGGTTAATGTATGATTGAGGGTGTTGCTGTGGTGCTTTTATCTGAATATGTGTCCCATCTAATGCGCCTAATATCCCCGGAAAGCCATTTCTTTTGCTGAAATTATCAACCACATCTTGTGCTTGTTGACCAAATGGCCAACAAATAAATTTTTCCTTGAGATGATTTAGTATGACCTTTATTATTCGTGTTCTGCACATGATCACTGTTGACTCTGACACACCAAAACGATCTGCGATTTTTATTACAGTATCCAGTCCCCCTAAATACCACAAGGTAAGTAGCAACTGTGTCCTAACTGGAACGGACTCTTTCCCACCACTTCCATCTTTTTTTAATTCTGGAAAATCTGCTATACTGTCACAAAGAGTATCTAAAGTTGCTGTTGACATCCGAAACATCCTGCGGAAGTGAGCCTCACTGTATAGAGGGACCACATTATCAGCATACCCATATATCTTGCTTCTTTCAGTTCTGGATCTAGTAATTAACAAAAGAAATGAAAGTTAAAATTTTATTCATTAAAACTTTTTTTTTCAATTAGAGAAAAAATAGCCTGTTCTGTACAAGTTACTGACATTGCATATTTACTTTGGGTTTAATTCCATACTTTCAATTCAAAACGTACCGTATGTCTGTTAAACACTATTCATACATACAATAACTAACTTATATTCTGGCCAGTTTGTTCAAAATGTGATTGAAAAATGTTGTTAACTGGGGCTAGCCAGTAGCCACTACATATAAGTTACTTGTAAGTAAAAAGTTCGAATATACATATAACAAAAGACTTAAGTTATATGGGTACTAATCAGACTTTCTACATACGGACCAGTGGAGAGAGATGTATCGTTGGTGTTTACGCACTAAACTGAAAGCGATTCTGTAGCTGTGGATAATAAATACGAATTTCATAAAATACAAAATCTTACAATAATGCAGCACATGCATCAACGATGAAAAAATCATCCTCGTCGTCACTGCTGTCACTGAGATTTTCCATCACTGAGCATACGATTGCCATTGTGCCACTGTCCGCCATTGTGATTTTACTACTTCCTGTGAAAGTGCATTCGATTGACACTGATCCAGAATCTCCCGGGAACACTGTTCCGGAGAGCGAATCGAGCGCACCCCTGGTATTCTTAACATCAAAACAAATTAGTTCAGTCTCTGAAAGCCTTGTTCTAACGCATTTTGTAATAATTCGGCAAAATGTAATGTTACAATTTGTGTTAAAGCAAATAATGCATATTGTAATACAACGCATTTCGTAATAATTCGGCAAAATGTAATGCGTTGTAACAAAGCCTTCTATACGTCTTCTTACTAAATAACACCAATTCAGAATTGAGAGTAACTCCAAAACCAATTTACCACCGAGTATACCTGTCAGATATGTGACCAATCAACAATACATGTATTCATGTACATGTACTGTATTTGTGCAATTTATAGAGCTCTAAATATGTTACACGACAGTCGTCTGTACTACGTATACGTTATGTGCTCTTGTATATAACAATGTTTTTTTTTATAAAATTGGTATTCTAATTCCAATGCTTTCAATATGCAACATGCAATATGTAGGTAAGCAATGTTTCATACCAGTTAATGTCAAAAATAACAGAAGCAATACTTGTATTTACATTTATTGTCGCCATACGAATTTTCAAAAACTTCAATTTTGTCGAGTCTTACAATTACCGTGACAAGATACAAGAACCTTTATTTAACGTCGTGTTTACAACAATATAACTTTAGTTCAGTAGAGCTATTCTTACGACGAAAGCTAGATTCATTTTTATTATGGAAAAAAATATCCGTTCCTTGAATTCACCTTACATGACAGTATTACTCCCTTTCCGTTTATGTGGGTCCGGTCGGCAGGAGTGGTGAGTGATTGGGGCCGAGGGGTTGTTGTACTAATTTAGTGATTCATCGATGGAAAGCTAATCATGTTTTGAGTTCTTCTATCTTTTCCAAGTTTTATTTCCCCTTGTTGAAGAAAAAAATATTTCCGAGCATTGCGTCCGCATTACAGTGTATGGATATATTTGCTACGCGATTTTCATGCTAATAGTTATTGTTTGCATTTAACTTAAACTGAGTATGTGCGAATCACAAAGAATTGGTTTTAGAGACATACAAATAACAGTATATTAGGTATTGTTTAATAAAATCATCAACTTGTTTACCTGACTGGAAAATTGAATTTGTTAGCAGTATCCCACTTTGTCGCCAAAAGAGAACGACGAACACTGTCATCTTTCAGTTCGTTTTCTGACATGACGTTGATATCAGAATAAGGAGGTTTATACTCGGAAGGCTGAGAGTTGTCTTGAGATGTGTCACTAGACATAATTTCAGAAAGGCTGGTCTTCTTGTTTTCACTTCCTAAATTGTCTTGTGATACCACAGATCCACACGCTGTGCCATTTTTTAAGTTTAGCGGGTACAAACTATATAACCCGGAAATAGAATTGTTACAACAATAACCAGAACCAAATATATTGAAGGGCTAAATATTCCGTATCGTAATGTATATATATAGATATACTGCATACGGTCGGAAAAGAAAAAGTGATTGTTTGATGCTATATACAGTCAAACTTCGATAATTCGATATTCAAGGGACCGTCATAAAAATATCGATACATCGGGACTTCGATACAAAAATAGTTCAGTCAAATAGCTGGTCCACGTAATAGGGGTCCGTATTTAAAAGTTTTTTTCATTATGTTTTAGACAAAAGATAACAATTATGTGTGTATTAATGATTTAAATAAAGACTCAACAATCAAAAACAGTTAAATTGAATTTTATTATGACCAAACAACAATAAATAACATGAAACATTCGAAGTACATGGCAATGAAGTATCACACGTAAATGACGAAATGGGTAAATGTATTTTACGGAACAGAAAAATCACATGTCACGAAAAGCACGAAATTGGCACTGTCAGTTATTTAGTACTCTTAAACACTATCACCATTAGCACTAAAACACAAATAACACATTAATCAGTCACACTTAGAAACAGTTCCAAAGAACTCACTCAGGGTACACTGTTTTCTCTCGAGGAGGAAATACTGTTGGATGGAATAACTGACGTCGGCAATCTGTGAGGCGGCTGAGTCTATTATTCCCGATGCCCGTCTGCTGGAGAAAATCTCGGACTGTATCTAGGGCGTTCATGGCGTCATGGATGGTTTGCTTGGTCGTTGGCAAGGAATCGTCATCATTGTCGTCATCTTCAGCTTTCGGTTGGCGTTGGGACACGATGCTTTCTAAGATGTCGCTGTCGGTCATCTCGGCACAGGTAAGAGCTTGGTCATCAACACGTGCGTAGTCGGTAAAAGATACACCAGTGGACAGCTTTCTCAAGACAGCTAGTGGAATGTCGTCGTCATCCATAACATCTCAAAATGGCGTCATGTGATTTGACAATAATAACACTTGCCTCATTTCGGCGTGTGTATGTATCAATCTTTCTAACATAGCATATATTACTGTTCAAACTAATTATTGGTCATTGACTAATTGTATACAAGAGGTGGTAAAATGCCATTGTCCTGATCGACCGTAACGGTAAACAAAAGATTAACGCTGGAGGGTCTCGCTACAGGTGTGAATTTGTTTCGGTCGACTGACCATCGAGCACAGTGACCACAGGTAAATTTTGATCGATTTATTCATGGTGATTTTGAACGAATTTATATGACTTGTACTGTAGAAAATTATCGAAACACCGAGAATATCGAAACATAAATGATCGATTCACGAGTAGTGAGTTAAGTAGAAATATATAAGGAAAATAGTCGGGACCAAGTAAAAATATCGACACAGCGAGAATATCGAATCATCGAAGATCGATTCATGGAAGTTTGACTGTATTAAAAAAAAAAAAGAAAAAGTGATTGTTTGATGCTATATATATTTGTTTTTTCTTACTTTTATTTTAACGTAAAAATAAAAGTAAGAAAAAATTTCTCAAGCGAATTTGAGTGTATGCTCAAGCATACAAGCATACATTATTGCTACACCACTGTCTAATGGTTCTATAGCGCTATCTCACTGAAACTACACAGGGGGTTAACACTAACTTCAGGTAAACTACACTTGTACTACAGCACATTTTACTATATATGTAACGTGCACAGGGTTCGGCACCTGTCTGGTCCGTCCCAAGTGGATTTGCTGTGCTATGCAGGGGTCGAAATTAACTGTTTTAGGCACTAGCAAACCATTGCTAGTGCCTAAAATTTCCACTAGCAAAAATGATGAATAGGTGAATAGGTTTGACTTTTATTTACTGTTATATTGAGTTTTTCAGGAACTGAGTGATATTGGAAAAGTTATCCAAGTCATTGGATAAGAATGGCTGATTGCTACCTGTATCAACATTTTAAATCTATATAACTTTGAATTTATCAGTTTTCTTTTTTTCATATATGAGCTACATCTAATCTGACTGTCATATGATCAGATCAATTTATAAATGTAACTGTACCCAAATCTATATTATTTAAAAAATTGTTCATATTAACGATCGTTTCAATAAATTATTATCAAGACAACTATCTTCCGTGTTCTCGGCAGTCATTGCGCCATACTGTATTAACAACATTTTTAACGTGGCCGTATATGCACGTTGTTGTGGCGGTGATTTTATATCAGCAGCGTCATGAGAAACGCTCTCCGATTTCGACGATTTTTTTTCAGAAGGGCCAGGCTGTGGCTGTTGACTATTGTTTTGGTCATCGCAAGCAGTGTCAGATGCTTTCCTTTTGAAAAAGTTTGTTATCATAGCTGATATGTCGCGTTTCACATGATGAGCAGACAGAAATTGTAGAGTTTTCCAAGACAACTTTTTATTCGGTTTACACATAACTATCAAGGGAAAAACTGGAGCAATTCCGAATGTATTGATAATCTCTGTCACTTTAGCGTTTCTAACCTATTTACTCATTTAAAGGCAGACGGAGAAAGGCATTTTGTGGCAGATGTTTCGTCAAAAATAGTGATTAGGTATAGTTCATTTCCACTCGCAAAATTTTGCTAGTTCATTATTTTCCAGCTAGCAATTACCAAATTTTAGCTGGAATTTTACTAGTTGTCTATAGTTAATTTCGAACCCTGGCTATGGTAGCGTAATAAAATTGATAAACCTACGGCACACTGACCAAGTGTGACCAGAAAACTGAAGACCCGATCAAAAAGGAATTAGAAATAATTACATATGATTCCCGATAATTACAACTCAAATAACGATATACCACTTATAAAGAGAACAACACCGGACTACTTGCCACGGCCCTAGAAATACATCGACTACAAACACAATATAAGCACTGGTCCCTTGCGCACTTGCTACCTTGCAACGGCGCTCTACCACTTGACTAGCCACTGCGCACCAGCTGTATCTCACTTAGATACTGCACAGTATTTATTTCCTAGCCTATACCGCTCAGTCACAACTGCATTCCAGTCATAGAAACCCTGGTATTCTAAGTTATCTACAATCTATGACCACTGGTCACTTGTGCAGAGACCTAACCACCTAAGGAATATTGAAAAGACTTATTCAGTCCTTTCCCCCAAAGACTTCTTCAGCCATTGGTTCCTAAATTAGATATTTATTTATATTTACCTGGTTTCCTTAGCTTCTTATCAGTGCTTCTCTGGACGATCACCGTCAGAATACTCCCCTTGAATGAGAGGAACCCTCTCTTATATACTTTTAGGTAAGTCCATTTATGGGTAAGACAGGTTATTCCATTTTCCAGGAAATCTTAGCTCAATGCTCACCTCAAATGGCCTCTAACATATACAAATCAGAAACGCAATATGACTGTGATTTCACGATGTTTATGTACACAATTTTCGTTAAGCTGACAATACTGACAATGCTGACACAGGAATAACAGTTAACAATACAGCGCTACTGGTAAGTTGACAATACTGACAATGAACACAATCTACTTTCATTACATATATATTCATGATCTGTGAACATACACGTCTTTGTGTGCTTGTGAATTGACGTTCAGTGCTGGTTTCACGTTCCAACATTTTACCCGTTGAATGTTCAAAACAGATAAATCATCTATAGAGAAATTACTCCCGGACGAGCCCCCAGATTGTCAGAGACGACAATAATTTTGGAATCTTTCATTTAGGTATACTTGATAGTATTTCGTTGGAACGTAAAATACAACACAGACGCCAATAAATAATTAACAGTTTATATGATAAACTAAAAAAAGTCAATATACAAACTACACAATAGTAGATAGACCGATCACATGTTCTTCCCTACTCACAGTGTGTGAAAGTCACTTCCCTGTGCAGAGCGTCCTTACTTTCGATTCGTGATAACACTGGGTCACAGCGCTCGAGCTCTCGCGGTCATGGTACACACACACAGAGTCAAAGTTCACTCCTTAACCCATTGGTTAAACTCTTAAACAACACATGAGGTCTGTCTTTCCTTCATCATGATATCACGCTGCGTCTTCTTCGCTCGCCATCTTGCCGCGCTCTCTACCCAAGCCGATTCTCCGAACCCCTCGGACTTCTTCGCAAAAACAATGTCACAAAGTCAACTCGCCCTACAGTCCTTTAAGGGCGCACGACACTTAACTTTTATATACATCATATATTCCCGCATTAAAGCAGTATTGAATGGTTGGGGGTTGTTACGATTTGAGCTATATTTCGGTCTGGACAAACACCACACCACACAAATCATCCATTATCGAAGTCACATGCCTGCTTTGTGTGCTGCGCGTTACTTGACATGCGTTTACAATAATGCCTTACACAAGTCAGACTAACAAACGAAGATAATAACTGATACCACTATAACATCTCCCCCTTTTGGAAGTAATATTGATTAATAAAAATAGACCAAAATTGCATTTCATTGAAAATAATCATTGTTATAAATCCACCCAAAAAATTTAGCCATGTCCATGAGAATGTAGTCGTGTCCATTAGTACTTAATCATGTCTCTTAGGTTTTATCAAATAACCAATGGAAATAACTAATTCACTTTGGGTAAGCAAATAGCTAAACTTAAGGTTAAACAAAATCATTGTAACGTTTAGGCCTAACCACACTTCTGCCTGAGCGTGTGATAACAGTTGCAGTACCGTCACTACGCGCAACACTAGATTGTTCATAATCAGACTCTTGGTCGGATGACATATTATTGTTCGAAATGTTCTCATCATTTTGCGTGCTGATACTCATATCCTTAGATGGGGTATCCTCAGCAACGACCTTGTCTGGGATCGACTGGGACTGGGGTTTGTCGGACATCACTTGATCTCAGACGTTGCCTTTTATATCTGAATCATCAATAAGTGGGGATCTGCGTCGCGTTAAGAGCAAGTGCCTACGGTTCCTCCAGTAAACACCTCGGGGTGTTCTAGTTTGATAAGACCTTCCTTTATAATTGGTCTTCTCTACCGTTCTCTCTACACCCCACAGTTTTTGATTGTCTAATTTATTTTTTTTCAGTATGTCCGGGCTCCAGTTCAGGCAAGGGGCGTACTGAATTACGACGATCAAATGCGTCACTGTACCTTTGCCTGTAGATTTTGTCACGTTGACTAACCAGTTTCTTTCCGGGCCATCTTGGGTTCAGGTTGGTTGATGTTACTGGTACTGTCGTTCTTATCTGACGGCCCATAACCAGTTGACTAGGGCTAGCTCCCATCGAGGCCATAGGTGTTGACCTATATGCCATTCCTTTAAGATCTTTTCCTATGTTGGGCCACCATACGCATGTAGCGGCACGTTCACGACACTTGGTGATACCAAGGTGACCTTCATGAAGTGTCTCAAGGATTTCCTGCTGTAGACATGCAGGTATCACAATCCTCTGTCTGTATAGGAGCAAACCGTTTGATACGGTCAATTCGTTACGCACCGCAAAATAGCCTTCCATTTCGTGTAGTGAGTTTTCACGATCTGGCCATCCTGATTTAGTAAGAGTCATTGCTTTCATAAACTGTGGGTCATTTGCTGTGGCTTGTCGTATCCGAGATAGTTCGCGGTCTGAGACCGGCCATGTTGATTCAATCGAGTTGACAAATATTTCCACCTCCTCGTCAGACAGGACCTCACTTATCTTGAGAGGACTCCCTTGAAAGAGTATCTAGAACAACCAATAATTTTCCTGGTACGTGTTCAGCAATTGGAGCAAACCTCCTTAGGCGCATCAACAGTCTTTGACATCTGAGAGGTGTTCTGTCTAGGTCCTGATTGTTTATGAGTGGCACTAAAGGCTTTTGGTCAGTGAATAGTTTGAACGACTCCAGCCCAACCAGGTAGCGGTCAAATTTCTCATAGCCCCATACTGACACTAGACACTCCTTTCAATCTGGGCGTATCGGGACTCTGCAGG